CGCACCGGAGGTTCAAATGGACGGAAACCGTCCGTTTGACCGTTAGTTGACCAAGAAAAGTAAATTTTGACCTATTTTGACTAAATTGGAAAGGGTAAAATGGTAACTTGATAATTACCATATTAAATAAATTGAAAAAAAATCAAAAAATAAGAAAAAATCAAAAAATTAAAAATCTAAGAAAAAAATTAAAAAAAAGGTTGCCTTCTTCAATCACCCCACCCCACCCCCCATCTTTTTTCCAGCACCGCCTCCTCCTCCAATTCTCAATTCTTTATTTCAAAATGGAACCAAAAGCCGCCGTTTCAAGAACATAAGCACCCCATCTCCGCCTTCACCTCCAGCACCACCTCCTCCACCAGAGCCTCGACGGTACCACTCTGTCAACACCGACAAACCACCAAAACCCAACAGAAGATACTGGATAAAGGACTCCGAAAGCTCATGAATACGGGTTTTTATGGTTACAGATTTAAATTTTGGATACCATTCCTGAATCTGACATCCATTTATTTCTTCCTCCTTCATTTTAAGAACAAATATTTGTCACTTCTCTGAAGCAAAAGAGAGACCTTCCTCAAGAAAACTGACCAGTTCCAAATGAAATAGTTAGCAAATGCTTAACTTTAAGAAGGGATGGTAATATAGATCGAATAGAAATTTATAAATACTAAATTATTTCAAATAGATATAGCAATAGAAATAAACTGAGCCGAGCAAAAAAAAAATAAAGTCATAAAGCCAACTGCCAACCCCAAATTTATTAAGAACGAGACTTACTTGCTCGTAATTTTAAACCATAAAAATGGGGATTATAGCAATTCGGTTTGTTTTTTGTGAACAGATGGCGGATAGTCCCGGTGGTAGTGGGAGTCACAAGAGTGGTGGTAGGGTGGGGTGGAGTGGGGTGATTGAAGAAGACAACCTTTTTTTAATTTTTTTCTTAGATTTTTGATTTTTTCTTTATTTTTTGATTTTTTTTTCAATTTATTTAATATGGTAATTATCAAGTTACCATTTTACCCTTTCCAATTTAGTCAAAATATGTCAAAATTTACTTTTCTTGGTCAACTAACGGTCAAACGAACGGTTTCCGTCCATTTGAACCTCCGGTGCTTATTTTTGAAATGTTTGGTACCTCCGGTGGTACAAATGAAAGGTTTGGACAAAGTCTGCTAATAAACGAAAGGTTTGATACCGTGACTGCAATTTTCCCTTAATTTTTTAAACAAAACCAAAAGAGTAGGACAGGTGGAATCCCTGACACAATCCTAAGAAATGTCGTGTAATAGCCTTAAAGAAACAATGCTCATAAGTTCAGGGTGCACAGAGAGAGCCAGGTTACCACGTGAAGCGGGCCTTTTCCAAGCCCGAAAGGGAAAGGGAAAGGGGAAGGGAAAGGGGAAGAGGACTGTCTTTCAATTTTTGTCATTACATAGTTAAATTAAATTTTACCTTTTTCTCTTCATTTTTCAATCACACAATTTTTTATAAAATAATATTAAACATAAATTAAAATTTTTTCATTCTTTTACAACCATTCATTCTTTAAAAAAAAATACTATTCCAAACATTAAAATTTAAAATATTGGAGACCAGAGGGGGCATATTCGACAGTTCGAATTCTACTTACTCCATGTTCCGTATCCCGCTTTCAATTATATGTATTATATTAATTTGAGATTAAGAAATGTTTCTAACTATAAAATACTTTTTTATTTTAAAGAGTTATTGTTTAAAAATAATTTCAAAACTATTCTCTATTTTAGCTTATTAAAATCGAGAGTGTGTTTGACCCTACAAATTTAAATAGTCAAACTCATTCTCTATTCTTAATGTACGATAATTGCATTTAATAAATCATAGATTTCAATAATTCACTTCTTTAACTATTCAAGTCACATTTAAATTGATTAGCCATTGATAGATAAAAATTTTGGTTAAATGTTAAAAATAAACAGTATGTGGCAAAGCTTAAAGTTTTTTACTTTATAAATTTATAGATGCTCTATAAATTTCAAAATTACTCTTTGAAAATAGAGTATTTTGGAGATGCTCTTATCGAACTTATGATTTTAATATATAATTTTTAAGTGAGAAAATTCTTGGGAAAAAATCATAAATATATATAGACTCTCTCTCTCTCTCTGGTTTCGAAAATATGATTTTTTTTCCAAAAAATAGGTGGTCACATTTTGTGATTGATAAAATTTTGTGACCTATACTCTAATTCAACATGCCACGATCATAATAAGACATAATATATGATCATGTTTACATACGACTCACGAACCACATAAGGTCAAAGCCATAGAAACAAATTGGTAGATCAAAATTACAAATATAGTTGCAAATTGCACATTGCCACGACACAATACATATGATGATGTTGGTTGCTCCTCCCATTAAGGTTATTAGGAGTAGCTCAATATGGGTGCTTTCATTTTTTTGTTCGTATACGAATAGAGAGAGAAAGTTGGTAGAGAAAGAAAGTTTTGTCACCAGAAAATATCTTTGCAAATTGGGGTGGGGATCGAGAAAGAGAATCATGCATCAACCAAGGAATATATGTATGCATTAATCATGCTACTTATACAATTTTTTAGATAGATTCTGAGATGGCAATACCTCAAAACCTTGATTTGAATTTATGAAGCTTAAATTAAAAATAATGCTATTTGCAGTCGCTTATTACCGTAATTACCTTATGTGGTATACATGTATCGATTAGTGATTTGATGTATAAAGTAATAAAAAAATTACAACATTAATGTATCAAATTACTAATCGCTACATGTATACTATATAAGGCGATTATGACTGTGATCGATTGCAAATAGCATTATTCTTAAATTAAGGGTTGAGGTGCCGCTTAGCAATATGCCAGAGTATGTAGAGAAAGGTAGTCTAAATATGATTGCGAGCTATATATAAATTCTTCCATTATAAAATAAATAGACAATTGTTAAAAAATAAAGGTTTAATTTTTGAAATTGAAACTGTAATGGTAGTGCTTTGGGTAATTTTTTTTTCAAAATAACTAGCACCATTTTGATTTAATTAAAAAATGATAAAAACATATTTAAAAAATCAACATTTGATTTTAATTGGATGTTTCATAAATCCACAACTTTTATCAACTTTTCAATTACATATTTTATCAATTTTGATTAAATTTACTAAAAAATTAATTTATAGTAAAATCAAACTGAGGCTAAATTTGTTTTAATAAAGGCTCATGCAGCTGGACCGAATCGTGCAAAACCAAGCCATGATTAGAAAATCTAACGCATTTTGTCTTTATTTAAATCTCTTTTGGTTTTAAATGTAAAATTTTCCTTTTCATTTATTCTTCATGCCTTGATCAATCTTTAATCATAAAATAGCAGCCTGTATTTGTAAATTTACTCTTGTGACCCTCTAAAAGGTTATCCAAATATTAAATATTATTGGAGTCTTGTGGATGATTTTGTCTTTATAAAGCTTATCAATGAATAATGTCACTTAATTAAATAATTAATTCTACCTTTTTATTGAGAATACATAATTTGTTGTATTTAGCCCTTGTTTAAATCCCATTTTTATAAAAATTCATTTTCAACAACACAGTTTTCAATAAAATAATGTTACACGCTAACTCAAATTTTTTTTATTAATTTTTAATTCCACATTCTCCACGAATCTACTATTCAAAATGCATTTTTTTCCTCCAAAATAGGGCCCGAACAAAGGCTTAATATAGCAGTGACTATCAACATTAGAGTCACATAGGAAGCGGACGGAGAGTTGCGATCGCCCTCTAGCTTTGTCATTGAACGACAAATCGACTTGAATTTTAAATTATCAATGAATGAACTCTTCTAGTCTATAGGCACTCCCAAATTGAAAATCTCACTAAATTGGGGATAAATTTTGGAGTAAATTTGAAGAATAGTGACAGAAGTGATGAGCTTACACACACAGATGCATATATAAGTGCATATGAATATTTATTTATTTATTTTATTTTATTTTATGTGGGGACTTGCAATTCAAATAGTTTTGGTAGTTAGTGAAATATAATATCATAGGAAGAATGTTGTAGCATGCAAAGACAAACACAAGGACAATGTGGCAAGTGTTTCTTGGCATTCTTTATTGTCACAAACTTCCAAATCTCCAGATCTATAATAAAATGACAATAATAATGACAACACAATTCTTTATGAAATCCTCTAAGGATTCTATCTCCTATTCTTTTCAATCATTCACCATTTAATTAATTTCCCTTGGATTTTATTAAAAACCTTATATTTTAGTCGAATAATTAATATCAGAATACAGTCTCACTATAAAGTGAAATATTTGTATCGACTTTTCTTTTTGTATGAAACTCAAAGAAATGCTCGGTTTTGATAATACTGTGAGGGATCAAAAGAATAGTGCTATCCACAATGAAGACTACCGGCAGTAGCCCTATGTGGTATACACTTGACAGTTTTTCATTTGATATATAATTTAAAAAATAACTATTATATTTATGTATCAAATACCAAATTGTTAAGTGTATACCACATAGGACAACTACTAACAGTTTTCATTACGAATAGCATTACTCGGGATCAAAATTTAATAACATGCGTGGCATATACTACCAAACATAAATAACAAATTTTATGATACTGTGGCAAAGAGAAAAAGTAAAAATACTCCGACAATTGAAACAGTACAAAAGTTAGTAAAATTTAGAGAGGCATCTACCTTGGTTACCATATTGGTTATATATATTCTGCAATTATGAAAAAAAGATATTGACATGATAATTCTACTAAGTGCTCAAAATGAACCATTTGTTTTCCATTTATGTAAAAATGAGAATAAAAAATATAGTTGTTATGAGCTCCACACAAAAGATAAAAATTCAAATATGGTAGCTTGATATGATGGATAACGATCATATTTTTTATTTTGATGAGAAAAGAATGAAATAAACATGGGCGAAATTAAAAAATTGCCTCATATAAGTAATAGTGAAAGTCTGTTCTTTTATTCATCATAATCCTATAATTTATAAATTTGCTTTAATAGATTGATCAAGAGAAATCAACAGTAGCTAGTGCCCTTAGCTTTTTTCTCCAAAATTCATTTCGATCTTCCATAACTTTCCTCCTCCAATAGTTTTCTTAGAGAGCGATAATTAGGATAACATGGACGACGTCCAAAACGAGGTTAAATCTGGGATTCTATAGTTTCAGATGTTTTCAGTTGAAGCCAGTTTGAGAAAGTTTGGAGGGTATTCATGTCAGCTCTGTAATGCTTCTGTGTAAACTCGAGGAGAATTGGCCATGTGAAATCTGGATATATTCTAGGGTTATTGGAGTCCACCAATTCAGTTGGTGGGCTCACCACCTTATCCTTCTTGGGACAAAGAAAGAAAGCAAGAGATTTCCTAGGAATTTTGTTGTTTACCACTGCTCTGTGCAAGCAACTTTTGTATCTTCCATTTGTTAGGGCCTGCGAAAAGTAAAATAAAACAAACACCCAATTAATCACATGAGCTTTTCAATACTTCAAAGATAGACTGTCTAAGTACTGGACAATACTATTATAAATTAATAAGAATTTTGTTTAGTACAGTGAATACTTACCATGAAAGTGTCTCCTATGTTGACAACGAAAGCGTTAAGGTTTGGAGCAATGAATTGCCATTTATTTTCGACAAAAACTTGAAGGCCGCCAACCGTGTCTTGATGGAGGATGGTTAAGGATGTCGGATCACAATGAGGTCCAGTGCCTAAGGTAAGGTCTGGTTTCTGGCACGGTGGATAATAGTTCAATCTCATTATCGATTCATTTTCTTCGAAAAACTCTTTAAAATGGCTTCGGCTCACACCAAGGCTCATCCCCAAAAGTTCCATGATCCGTAGAGATAATTTGCTCATTGCATTGCAATATTCTTGGTAAACTTTCCTGCACATATGTGAAGCAATTTAGAATCAGAACTATTTAATACACGTTGAAACATATCATTTAAAAACTTAAGCTGGAGGGAACATCAATAATATGATAGGAAAAAGAATTCATGCACTTGATTTGTTTCTAAACAAGAAATGAATTCAAAATGTAAGTTTTTCGTACCCCAAATGCACGAAATCTTCGCCTAATGTCTCGTTGAAATAATCTTCGACAACATGAGACGAGCCCTTTTCTGGAGAGTATTGAAACGAAAGAGTTTCCTTCCATGGTAGTTTGGAGGAGAATCTCCCTAAAAAGCTGCTAGCATATCCACAATGTTCACCAAGTTTTCTCTGAGCTTTTTGCTTCTCAATAAGAGGTTGATCAAAGAATTGGTCCATGTAAAGATGAGCATCTGATATGAGTTTTACATCGACACCATGATTCACTACAAGAAAGAAACCGTGCTTTTGACATGCTTCCCCTACTAGCTTGGATGCTTCCATGGTGGCCGTGGTGTCCTCGGAGAGGAAGCCACCCAAGTCAATTAGTGGAACATAAAGCTCCGGCGGGTTGGCACAAGGTTTTTCATGATCTGGCCATATGAACTGTGAAGGTATATTAGACTCATGTTGTAGCACCGAGGCATCAAATACTAGTGATTTCTTTAGTAAATCATCATTCCGTACATTTTTAGACTGAGACATGGACGGCTTGCTACTTATTGGACTATTAATAGCCATTGCATGAGGTAATTTTTTTGTGTTCTAGGAGTAGACCAGAAATAGAGGGGGAGAGTAATTTCGGGGTGTTAAGGGAGGAAGAGAAATAAGAAAGTTTTAAGAGTTGTGATAAAGGAAAAGCCAATGCCGTTCATTGGGGAAATGGGTGAACAAAAATTGGTATCTTTATAGTCACCCTGAGTGTGTCTCACACAGAAACAACAAAAAACAATTGCTTGCAAATAAGGGCTTGATGATAATTATCTTTTCTATAAAGGACCAACTTATTAATAAAATTAAAAAATGGTCCATCATATATTTTGTCGTATTGTAATGTTGACAGAAAAGCGTTTCCCAATGGAATTTGGCGTTTCCTTTGGTAGGGTGACTACGTATCGACTAACCTCACCAGTTGCATTATGCCTTTAGCTAATGCCCACAACAGTAAAATCAAATTAGGACAGCCAATATTTCCATTAACTTAAATTCGATTATGTGAATAAATTATAAAATTCCTCAAGTTAACATCATTTATTTTGTCTGTACATGAGAGGTACACGAAGAAGCAATAGCCATTAATATATTATTCAGCTAGAAATTCTTAACGGAAACTATGCACAAATTTTTTCCGTTGAATAAAGTTTTTATTTTTCATTTCGATCTCCTACTTCAAGTCTCTGACTTCCTTCGGCATACGACGATGTAATATTTATTTTTGTGAATGTTCTTATATTTGATTATGTAGTGATTGTTGATTACTGACCTCTTCAAGGTTATTTTTGTATCTCAATTATAGTATTACATAATTTCCAATAAGTGATTGCTGTAATCAAAATTGACATGATATTTTGGATCAAAATGAGATGACATGAGAATAAAGGCTAGTATGTCAACGAACTGAGCCATAAAATGGCTAAGGCCGATATCATGACTTTAAAGATGGCCAAGCATAGCCTAGAGTGATAAGCTCTTGCCAATGCATGGCCGTGATCATCCCACAAGAGATGGTCGACATCAAGTTGTTAATATCTAAAAATCAAGTTCATGAAAGAAGTTTACTCAATATCCAAGAAAGTAGGACTAGTCTAGAAGACAAACCCACTACATCCAACTTGGTTTGCATTTCGTATCCGATGGGGAAAGCATTAATGTAATTGTTGGGTTTTTTTTATACCCAATAAATCTCGAGTTATGCTGTTAACATGTGATAATATATTTCATAGGTTTAAGTTGATGAATGAAATAAGTCCAATAACCAAGTTCATAGGCTCTACCTGGTTTAATTGTATTCTCTCTTAGATATCTTGAATTTTGGCATTTAACTCTCTTATAGGTCTAATTAAAAGTCTAAACTAGCCTACTTATAAGGATATAACCCTATCTATTTTCTAGTGTGTGATTTGTGTGTGAAAGTGAAGAAACTCAGCTGCCCCCTTTGAAGAGAAGAAATCAGCCCCTGTGTCCAAAATCGGTTGATTACTTTGTGTACTTTATGGTCTCTTCATATCCTACCTTAATGGTATTTTCTTTTTGTCTTTGTGGCTACAAATCATCACCGTTATCTTGTTTTGTGTGGGTGAGATTGAAAAGCAACTGATGTGAATATATTGGTTGGTTGATTTGGTTGTTTTGTAAAGAAAGGTAAAGTTGGATTGAACTCGAAAAACATTGTTTTGAAGATCCTTGGAGTAAACTTTCACTACGGTAAACTCATATATGTTGGTTCAATTTTGACAAGAAATCCTGAGACAATATCACCACCGCTCACTCCAACATATAAGAACTTAGCCGATCCAAATGAAATACTTCTCAATTAACGTCAGATCAAGTTAATTGAGGAGAGACCAGTCATTATCTATAAATCAATAATCTATAATTTAAGTAAAAAATCATTCTTTATTTTATTTTAAATTCTATTTGGCTTTGACATCGAACCTCTTAAAAGTGTGCATCAACCTTTGTGCAAAGACTGAGCAAACTCACTATTGTAGGTTTTCGTGAAAGTTGATCAAGAGACTGTCATGCAGGATTTGATTTCAATATTGATTTAAAAAAAAAAAAAGAAGAAAATCTCAACGTCCAATATACAAGATCTCATACATTACACACATAAACGGATTTGATTAAAACCAAAAATATAAATAATTTGTACAGATGAGTACAAATACATCTGTACAAATTATAGCAATAGAGTGAGACAGTGGCCAAAGTATTAATACTAATTAGATTAGATGGTTGTCATAGAAATAGAAGAACGAAACTGATTGTATATACAAATGAGATGAGACAGACGGTAGTGCTGGGGACACTTGAATTTTCTAGAGAAAAATGACAAGATAGAGAAGACTCCCATGTTAGGAAAATAGCTAACCTCATTTGGTACTCCAAACATCATGTCCATCTGTTCAAGGGCACTACTAGTTCAGTGAAACAAGAAAGGATTATCTCATGTGGGGGTTTCAATTGGAATACACACACATATATACCACCTAGAATATATAGGGGTGGGAGTCGAGTGGGGTGAAATAAGGGTGACCTCTTTATGAATACTACTGTCTAACACCAACATATGAAGCAACAATCTAACTGTCCTCGTATCATAAATCCTATTTAATTGATCATAAGTTTTTATATCTGTTGACACATAAAAATTTAGCCCAAATCGAATGGCCTAAGGAATGAAGCCCAATTGGAGGATCCCCAAATCAGATAGCCCAAAGAACGAAGCCCAATCAAACAATTCAAGATGAAGGTCCAAATAGGGAAGGCTCAAGAATGCGGTAAGCCATCGCCCAAATTTGCGAGTCGCCCAGAATCTGAGCGAATAGAGTGCCATGCAGTCGCCCAGAGTTGTTACTCCATTCTCGCCCAAACCTTCAAGTCGCCCAAGGTCTTAGCAAACATAAAGTGTTGTGGTTATCAAGAAGTGCAGTTATCAAAGCAGTTATTAAAGCAGCCTTATCACGTTCCACGATTCAAGGAATTCAATCGAAAACGGTTGAACGACGAAGAGTAATGGCAGCAGTTAAAAAAGGCAGTTTCATGACAAGTTGGCCATTACGAGGAAAGTGGGCAGTTGTAGAACGATCGAGCAGTTTCTAGGCGGTTGATCACAAAGAGATCATCCATGAAGTATAAAAGGGAGAAAAGACATAGAGCAAAAGACCGAATCAAAAACTCTCGAACAGAGAACATGTAATTTTAAATTCCTTAGCTTAGACTTAAACACCTTTTTCAGTAACTCGTGTGCTTGCGCCCCTTGGAGGCATTCTGTTTTTAATTTCCAATTGTAAAGTCATCGCCAATAAAAGAACACCCCTTTTTGGGACTTTGTCTCAAGAGGTTTGTCCCTTACACAATCGTCTGATCCCTTTTAATTATTAGCGACTAACCGACGCGAAATAATTTGGCACGCCCAATGGGACAATGGTGTTTGGTGTTGAAAATACAAAAGGTGAAACAATATGCCTCAGAGATCCGATAAGGAAGCAGCAAGTCAGGGAGGAATCCAGTCTGTGATCGAACGATATGAGGAGCAGCATGCCTCTCCACGAACAGATGGACAGAATCAGAGCAATAACAGTCGTTACGAACCAATGACGGAGTTGAGTCCTCGAACCATGCGTGCATTATTTGAAGAACTCACACAAGACGTCGTTGAATAGGTAAATATTCGAAGTATTCATAATATGGAAAGATTTACCCAAAATGGGAATGCACCCTATGACAACATGGCCAAACAACTAAACACTTTGAACGAAACAATGAATAAGTTAGTAGGCCACATATGTCAACCGGTTATACCTCTTGCAAGTCACTTTCAAACTAGGACAATTGTAGGACATAATCCCTCACTCCTAAATTCGAACTAAGGGGTAGAACCACTTTCTGGTCCCTCTGCTTCAAACCAAGGGGGTACTGCAATGCCAAATCAGAACAATGGTAGTGGTACGCCTAACTTGGGGGGTAATCCAAATATAAGAGATAATGTCCTAAATAATGGACAGAATACCCCACGTGTTAATAAGGGAATAGATGTTTAGGCTAATGGTAATGGCCCTAATCATGGTAACTTTGTTGCCAATCAAGGACCAAACATCAAGCCTCATGCAAATCAATCGATTAACCAATCTGTAGGAATTCCATATGACCCCAACGTCATGTTGAGGAATCGGATTATGGAAATCGTACAGGATCAGATGGTTTTTGGGGTGCGTCCCGTCATTAGGCCGACTTACATAAAGCCATATCCTGATTGGGTAGACCAAGCATATCCATGGCTTAGAGGGTATAAAGTGCCAGAATTCTTACTGTTTACCGGTTTAGGAGAGGTATCTACTTTAGAACACATAGGGCGATTCACATTGCAAAGTGGTGATGTAACCGATTACCATAAAATGGGGTTTTTCCTTAGTTCATTAACAAGAGTAGCTTTCTTCTGGTTCATCAACTTGCCAGCGAACTTTGTTCAAATATGGCAACAATTGGAACAGCTATTTCACGCTCAGTTTTATAAAACTGAGTCTGAAGTCACTTTGGCTGATTTGACGAATCTACGTCAAATGCCAAACGAATGGGCAGAAAGTTTTCTCCAAAGGTTCAAGACAGCAAGAAGCAAGTGTTTTGTACCTCTGCCTGAAAAAGAATTTGTCAAAATCGCTCAGGACTGCTTGAGCTTTGATTTAAAAAAGAAATTCCAGGACAAGGAATTTCCTAACCTTTTTCAGTTGAGTGCAAATGTGATTAGGTATGAACGACTGATAAGAGAGGAAGAACAGATGAAAAATTCTAGTAAAGGGACTTATTACAAAGACCCAAATTTTGACGTTCATACCATCAGCGACGAGTCATACGATCAGGCCGAAATGTATTTGACCGAATTGGTCAAAGGAGATATGTATACTTGTCCCATAATGGCCAAGCCTAGACCATCGGGCAAAGATGAGCCCATAAAGGATGGAAACATAAAGGCTAGAACGTTCTCGTTCGATGTAACCAAAGCTGACCTTATATTTGATAAATTATATAGGGATAAGCAGATAAAGTTGAGCGATAAGCATAAATTGCCAAACCCTGAACAAATTAAGGGTAAAAAATATTGTAAGTGGCATAATGTATGGTCACATTTAACTAACAATTGCTCGGTTTTTCGCCATGTATTGCAGGA